ACGCGACGTAAAACCCAATTTCACCTCACCTCACCTATTTAACTTCAAAAACACTTCCCCCATCCTACTAAAATCTGAAATGATCCTTCATTTTAATCAATTCTGTTCAGCTGTTCAATTAGGCGTCGCGACGGAGGGTCCCTCAAGGTGGATAGATCAGCCATCATGGTGACGTGTTTGGCAGTTGTTGGAAGCAGGTCTGACTCCTCGTCGGCCGTCGGTCGCATCTTCTGACTTTCTGACTTCTCCACTCTTGGATCAGCAGTTTCAGCAAATCCTGGTAGGTGGGCATCCCTGGACCTCATCCCCAAACATCATTGCTACATTTCAACAGTTTTCTGTCTGGTGTCATGGCTGTCCATCCCCAAGGTGTCCAGAGGATCGATGTATTACTCAGACGAAGAGAATTTCCACGTCGTGTCCAGTCTCTCCTTGTCGAAGGAAACTGTGACATGGCTCTGGTCTTGGAAGTGTTTGGTGAGATAAGTACCGTATTCGACGTAATAAGCGCCCAGGGCGCTCTCAAAATTAGAATATTATTTTGGTGAAAAAAAAGTTGAGTTGAAAGATAAATTTCGTGGTTTATACTGACAGCCTGAAATGTTTATGTACGACAGATATATTTTTCCCGAATTTAATTGCCCATAATTAAGTGTGCATATAACGAGTGCGTATTATACGCGAATAAATAAATCTTGTGTACATTAATCAATCGGAAGAGGTGCTAATTGGGATTGTTTACTAGCCAATATATTAGCAAATATCGCCGTGGGCGTTTATTAGAGCGGGGCGCTTATTACGTCGAATACGGTAAGTGTCTTGAAGTCAGTGATTGCTCAAGAGATGCTAGTGACGACGATGCCAGTGCTGATGAAGATACTGTGCACGGCTTCTTTGTTCTTCCTGGGCATGACGCTTTATGGGACGCACATAAGTATTAGTAGATGGCCAAGAAGAAATAAAGCGATTGTCGAGAGTCGATTGTACAATTCCGACTATATCATGAACATGTGTTTTTGAATCACAATCAAATAGTAATGATACCAGGTGTTCGCGAAAAGGTGAGCGTATCCTGCACCTCCGGTGGCACCCGTGACAAACACATGCAAAGGCAAGTCAAGTGTTCACCCGAAAAAATATGGGAACATATGGTACAATGAGTGAGTGAGTGAGTGAGTATGGTTTTACGCCGCTTTTAGCAATATTCCAGCAATATCACGGCGGGGGACACCAGAAATGGGCTTCACACATTGTACCCATGTCGGGAATCGAACCCGGGTCTTCGGCGTGACGAGCGAACGCTTTAACCACTAGGCTACCCGACCGCCCTCATATGGTACAAGTCAAAATAGGGAATTGCATCGGACATAATTTTCGTCACTGATGCGTCAAATTTGGAAATGTCCTCCACGTATCTACCACAAAACGTTTTGAAAGCTTTACTGAGGCCTTGAGCGTCAAGAAAGCACATATCCAGGGAAAGAAACTAACAGTAATAGTCCACTAGTCCTTACAATGATAACATAAAAAATGGCAAATGTCTACTGGTCCTTGTGAAACCTTTACTATTGAGCAGATTGGCAAGGACTATAGGACGAGTGCCAATTTCTAACGCTGTATCTCACGTTGGATTCACGTATTCGCCGGTTACAGTCCTCCAGAACCTCCCCCACTGACTTTTTCTAAATGATGGCGGGATCCAAGTCCTTGTTTGTGCGGTGGATGTAGTTATCAATGTTACTATGATCCAGCCACTGGAGGACAAGCTCATTTGCCTTAATTGCTAGTGGAGGTGTAGATGGGAGGGGGAGGGGGGCAGTAGATAATACAGGTTTAGTCTGTATAGACTTCTGAAAGTCTTCCCATCGTCATACCACACCCTAAGGACTCTCAATGAGCCATGGTCATCACGTGCTAGGTAATTCTTCAGCTCCCTCGTTGAAGGGACATACAGAAAAGTGTGTGGATATATCGTCTTTCATTGATGGCCAATAAAATGGATCCCCAAAGCCTTTTCAGAGCCCAAATGGTCAGAGGAAGGAACATCATGTCAGTATTTCAAGACATCGTCCCTCTTTAATTCAGGTACTGTGAGCTAAAGAACTTTCTGATCCTCATCTTCACTTCCCCACCTGCGATACAGTAGCCCCATGTGAACCGCAAGTTCTTTCCACTGTCTCCACAGAGTTTTCAGAGAAGAGTGAGTGAGTGAGTATGGTTTTACGCGGCTTTTAGCAATATTCCAGCAATATTAGGCGGGGGACACCGGATAATGGGCTTCACACATTGTACCCATGTGGGGAATCAAACCCTGGTCTTCGGCATGACGAGCCAACACTTTAACCACAAGGCTACCCCGTCGCCCTTTTCAGAGAAGAAGCAAAATGGGATGTAGTATCTGGTCTTTGTAGCTTGTGTTTGGTCTTCTTTAGAAGTGAAAAATAACGTGCTATGTATTTGTCCTGAAACTGCTTTTGTCTCATTTGTGCTATCCCCCATCCATCAAGCAGATGAAAACCAACCATGGACCAACATCCATTCTATGTAGATTTTGTCTTGTAATAGCTCGCAAGAATAAAACATTGCTGCTCGTTTCCGTAGGGACATTGTCACCAACAAATTTGATTCTACCTTGTGCAGATTCAACTTCATCACCATCATTGGGACTCTGATTAGAGTGAGTGAGTGAGGTTTTATGCCGCTTTTAGCAATATTCCAGCAATATCAACGCGGGGGACACAACAAATGGGCTTCACTCATTGTACCCCTGTCAGGAATCGAACCCGGGTCTTCGGCGTGTCGAGCGAACGCTTTAACCACTAGGCTACGCCACCGCCCCGACTCTGATTAGGGCTCTGCCTTGAACATGTGGTACATGGAGATATTGAGAGGGCATCAGTATTCCCATGTTGCCTGCAGGGCAATGAGTGACCAACAGGTTCAAACTTCTCAACTCTGGGAAACCATGGTGTCCAGATTCTTGAGGCTCCTCAACCATGAGATTGCAGCAGTGTCAGTCCTAAGCAGTACTTCTTGTACATACGTGTGAAAACGTTTTAGTGCTGTGACAACTGCAAGAGGCACTTTCCTAGGGATGCATTATGACCCCTCATGACTTTCATTGCTTTGCTGATATTGTAACGTCAGCAAACGTTTTTGGGGACCAACCATTTGATATTAGGGGGTATGGGTTTTTATTGAGAAAAAAAACATTGTCCCCAAAAAGTCGTGAAAAACATAATTATGCTTCAGACTGCTTGACGTGCCTTCCATTACTTGTGTCAATATGGTGTTAGTAAAAGCGACTATGCTTGTCTTAAGAGGCGACTTACGCGATCGGGTGGTCAAGGCTAGCCAAATTGGTTGATGCATGTCATCGTATCTCAATTGCCTTGAGTGATGCTCATGATGTCACTGGATTGTCTGGTCCAGACTCGATTATTTACAGACCGCCGTCATATAACTGGAACACTGCTTAGTACGGCGTCAAATAAAATACCATGTGGTAGTGAATGACAAGTATAAGTCTGGTTAGATGTTGACCCCTGAACGTATCATTAACAGGTCATGTGACTTTTCTCAGCTAATCAGAACAGACTGGATGGCTTTCATATCGCAAGCATGACATAGGTAATGGTATATCCAACACAAGTGATTACTAAATGTCTTTGTTTAGTCCGAATACAAAGTGAAATATATCTTAAAACAATTTAGGGGAAGACCGTCTCCAGAAACATCTTGTGAATCAGGTCATTGTTTATCTGGATGAAATGCCCAGCTTACTTTCTATAAATATAAACTAGGTCATGTCTGACAAGTGCTGCTAGTGCGGACATTCAATGACTGATAAACATAGATATCAACAGTGAACATGACACCCCTAAAGTTGACTCAATAGATAAAGTACAATACTAGGGCTGGGACGGGGTACTCGGGTCGGTCGAGTAGGACCCGGTTACCCACTGGACTACCCGGACCCGTGGTTAGTCGCGTGATACATTGTTTCATGACAAAAAGTCACTATATAACTACATGGTTACACGACAACTTTAAGTCTCTAATGTTCGCTCTTCTTCATGACTATGAACGCATTCCTTCTGACTTACATATGTTTGAACAAAGCTAAAATGTCAGTCAACTTCAGTGTATGCATGACCACATCGTTTTATACGTGTATCGAAATACATTTTGCCAGGGCTAATGGCAAACTATTCCCAATCGGACATTTTGTACCTATCTCTTGACACCAACAGCGGGTACCCGGGTAGGGTCGGGTAATAGGGGTGTGGGTACCCGTGTAGTAAATGTGGACTCGTTCCAGCCCTATACAATACTATGTGACTTTCTATGATACTGTAACCTTATTTACTTCAATGTCAAAATCATGGAGGGATATTTGCAGATAGATCGTGATATAACGAAACTAGGTGACGCTTATGATTGACAAGGTTCGGATTACGCTTGCTGCTAATGGAGCTTCAAAAACAGTATTATCTAAAACACTATAGTATTGAAGCTCACCAGAATCCTTAAATGTGAGGATGGGGAAATACAAGTAACATTTTTTTAAATCTTTATTTTGCACAACACAAAGACAATGCATCATTATTTGTGATTGAGCCATTCATGACAAATGACATGAATTAATACTTAAGGCGTCTTTAACAACCGGTCAAGCAATCAACATGAACATATAATAATAACAATGGCGTGTTGAGAATTTTGCTCAACCGTTCCACGGCCAACATCTACATACACACAGAGAATTTGCTGCAAAACCGAATTTAGAATCAATATACCGTATTCGACGTAATAAGCGCGTTGCTCTAATAAGCGCCCACGGCGATATTTGCTAATTTATTGGCTAGTGAACAATCTCAATTAGCACCCCTTCCAACTGTACACAAGACTTATTTATTCGTGTATAATACGCACTCGTATGTTATATGCACCCTTAATTATGGGCAATTAAATCCTGGAAAAATATTTCTGTCGTATATAAACATTTCAGGTTGTCAGCATAAGCCACGAAATTACGATCTTTCAACTCAAAATAATATTCTAATAAGATCCCCCTATTTCTAGTTTTGAGAGCGCCCTGAGCGCTTTATACGTCGAATACGGTTATTCTGTATACAGATGCCTTTCAGTATTTCCTACTATTGTACTTATCTTTTACAACTAAATCATTCCTGGCCGTTAAGCAAAATAATCTAGTCAATTACAACAACATATCATTTTGAAAATCGCCTGACGGTTCACCTGAAAGAACAACAGGAGATGTATATTCTTCATGTTGGTAACATGGCGAACAGCTCAATCAGCCGTTAGCTTTCAGAATGCGGCCTTATGACAGTAGCTGGCTAGAGAAGTCTCCCTAGCTGCCAATGTGCGTGGCAGGTAACTGGTTTTCTGAAATCACCATCTATTACTCACATTCCTACACACTTCCCTACGAAAAACATTTGCCATTCATCATCAGGTACAGAATACTATTTAAACAATTATCGGTAAAAAAAACAAATCTCAGCAACAGTTTGGCCAATTCATAACAATACAACGTCATAGTAAACATAGTAAACATGAAATACGTAATCACTTGTTTGGCACATTTGGCTGATGCCAAAAGTAATAATTTGGCATTTATTCAATGATAATAGTTTCTGAGGATGATCGCCCCTCTGAAACACACACATTGTCACACAATGTACCAACAGCAGCACTAGCACATTCTGTATAAAACATCTCGGCGACATTGTTAATGTCATAATACAATCATCTCTACCCAGCCCTAGGATACCATATACACTGTTTAACAATTTGCCACAATGATGGATTGTTGTAGCATAGAGCAATACTATGTAATGTACTATGAAAAGCGTGATCAAACACATGAATCATCCATACATCGTACCTATTACATATATATTCTGAATGTATAAATCCAAGTCACTAGGACTGACCAACCGATCCTGTTTAAGTTGCCCTTTAGACATATTCCATCCCAGAATCCTCACAGGGTCCATATACAATGTAGAAGGAAATTATTGTCATCATAATAATTGCATCCCTCTTTCACCCAAATGGGCTTTTGTTCAGAACATGCTCAGCCCATGCACATATCCTAACCTCATAATCCTAAACTAATTAGCATAAGGTGCACCTATTTCTTTAAATATTTCATTTTCATCAAAGGCTTGTTTCAAAGCTTGCCACACCAAGCCCACTTTCCTGTGCTAAAAATGATTGGACTATCGCACATATAGATAGTCCAATTAGAGAACGTTTCACAAAATCAACATCCACGACTGGTACACCTTCGTACGAAAGTGTTTTACCGCTGGGATATGTCTTTTTCATCTTCAATTGGATATCGCGTTTTCATTACAAGGAGCACAATTCGTAGTCTACGCGAGGTGGCGCCAGGGTCGAGCCAAGAAAAGTGGCCTTGATGTGGCAAGGGTAGAAACTAGGCATTGATATAGGCTAGTGGACACGCTTGCCTTGAGAAGATGTCCATACCACATCAATGGTCCATATATATGCCTTCAATCAAACAAACCATTTTACAACTATAAAATATGAAGAATATAACTGCAAATGAACACTGTTGTATTAAAATATATGAAGAACATGATAATGCAGTCGAAGATCCCTTGGCAGTGGCGTAGTTCTGTAATTTGGGCCGAGGTGTATGATTCATTAGGAAATAAAGATTGTCCGTGCCATAACAGTATATCATCCAAAACATCACAACTGTTTTCATAGTGGCTTAAAATAACGAAACTGCTGAAGAGATCTGGAATCAAATCAGGATTGAGGGCTAACATGGCAACATTTCTATTGTCAATATAACCATCACGCAGTCTCTGTATGATAAGGTGTATTTCAAAATTATTCTGAAGTCCACTGTCGACGTATTCTTGTGAGACAATGACGAGAAATTTCCAGCTCTCCACAATCAGCCTTGAAACAGCCTGGTTAACAATTTCATTTCCGAGAACATCATTATCACGAAAACACACTCTCAAACCCCGGGAAGTGAGCGCTTGGGCGATTTCAGTCGCCATTGCCGTCTGTTCATCTGCATACGAAATGTAGAGGTCGTACTTCACAACAGTGTTGTCTGCTGGCGCAAGTCCTGCTAGTGTACCTCTGCCTCGGATTGGCTGAATGTTGACTCGTCTCCTCCGAAGTATCATGTTGATGATTGGATTGGTCACCCTCGTCAAGAGCGTTTTACTTAAACAATAAGAAACAGCTAAACACACAATTATTCCACCGTAGAAAATTTGTTTCTCTTTGAGGAAAAAGTCACAAGCCATCGACTGTAAAATGATTTCAAGATACTTGCAGACTGTTGTTTCTATTCCCCCCCAACAAGAGAGCTCTGGCAAAGGAAGAAGTTTCTTTGAGCCATTGTAATACAAATCCAAGACAAGGGGCTCCTGAGGAACAAGTTCTACAGTGTCGGGATATTCCACATCAATAATTTCGTATGTTCCAAGGGCCGTATTGTAGAACTGGCGATAGAAGACGAATTTGTGGACTCCGTATGTGTAAGGACAAACGCATTGCCAGCTTGTGCCGCCAACGCCCTCCACCATCTGAAGTTTTCTATAGAAGGCAGGAATGTTTGAGTAATGGCCACCATCATGCCACAAGAACCAGTACAGGAACACAAATATGGAGCATGACTGATCAAGTCCCTCGCATGTCTTTAGGAAGGACTTTCCGTTGATTTCATGATCAAAATCAACTACGCTTGGCACGTCATTCAAGTAACTATATGACGCACTTGTTGACACTATACCACCAACTGGAACAGACACAATTCTTCTCGTTGGTTTGATCTTTTCTAAAATGAACTCTGCAGACCATGTGTATGGTAAGGGTTTGAAGTTCGTAGGAGGCAAATCCTCAACAGGAACTTGGCATCTGGTTTGTTCTTTGCTGACATTCGGGCATTCAGACGACTTTCTTCTTTCTGAATAATCTTCATTATTTTTACTTTTGGCGGAACCTTGTTTACCTGTGTGTGTTTCCCTCTTTTTGTGTCTCATAGGTGTGTTGTAATTTTTGGGGTTGCTCGCAAGTGACGCAAGTATTGTGGCCATTTTTGCAACGTGACAGGAATATTTTCCAAAATCTTCAGCATTGATAAGATTAATTTCAAGCTTTGACTTTACACGATAAAAATAAGTATCAGTAATATTCAAAGGGACTTCTTCAAACACTGTTGTGATATGGTGCCAGGGCGATGATTCAATTATCTGTCCATTATGCTTCCAGATCACCTGCTTCTTGTGAAATTTTACAATTTCAAGGTAAATCAGCACGTCTTCACAAACCATTCTCACATCTTCACCCTCGTATCGCATGAGTCTCTCAAGCTTCAGGGGTTCTGGACCGGGGATCTCACGGTCACGCACCATAAACTGGGATCTGGTTTCATCTATCTTAACAATGCTATCCTCTAATCTATTGATGTAATTAGACTTAAATATTTCCCATGTCCAAAGAGCTGACCTGTCCAAAACTACGGCAACAAATAGGTAACTAGATAAGACAATGAACAAACCACAACAGAAAACTCTCCTTGCGCCATATCTCAACAGGGACGTTCGCACTCTGTTATTCAGAAGGGCGAAGGCGAGTTTCAGAAAGCATAGTCCAGTGTAGAACAAATTCTTCAAGTTTATTAAACACAAGTCCGGGCTATTTGGATCGGTAAAGAAAACTACCAGAGGAAACAGGTTCCAAAATAAGCCAATCAACAGCACATGCAGCAAGGCTGTTGTCGAAATGTTTTGTTTCTTCATGCCCCTTGAAGACAGCTTGCCTCGTCCCATTCTGCATCAGTGGGATATTAAAGGCTACTGCTGCTGAAACAAAATTGATGAGAGTATACAATTATGTGGATATTTCCTGAAACACTGGTACTTGAGCTGAACAGAACCATTAAATGTAACATTTTAAGAACTATATTTCGAATACTATGCATACAATGCACCATTATTTGTGACAAAGCGATTCATGCATTGATATTTAGTCACAATGTAACCATGGCATCATTGGGCCGATAATGCTTGAAGAAAATGATAATGCGCCAGACTGTTGAAAACATATACAATTGTCTGCCACTCATCATGAAAAAATAATTGAACTGCTATATCACTGGCGTCAGTCGTGAGATTAGGTGAAATGGTAAATAAATTCAATCTCCTGTTTTAACACAGATGTATTCTTTATTCATTCATTCAGAACGTTTTTTTCCTTGGTCCATAAAACAAGTGTCCAAATGGATGCCTCTAGATTCCACCCTCAGTCACAGTAGCCAATGATGAGCTTTTTCCCCATTCTCTGTTTAATGTGAATGCTAAATGAATACTAGTCAGTGCATACAATACTTTTGAATTGTATATATATACGATCATTTTCAGTGTCATAGTATACTAAAGCAGGAACATTAATACTGTGTATCAATACATCAAATATAGGTACATGAATTAAAGTACAAGGGTAGATTGATACGTTCTGAGCCTCACATCAAGGGAATCGTGTCACCATGAAGGCTTCTATTGTGGACATCACATGATGTCACAGAGGAGTATCCACAAACACTTGAGTCAATGAAGCAAATTGTTTCTTGCCGCAAGTCAGTAAAAAGGTCTTAACACCAAAAGCCATCCGTGAAGATAGAAGTACATAACGAGGAAAGGGTGCCTTTCTATGCAACTGTAAAGAGGTTTGGCAGCAGACTTGAGCATGACAGAAAGAGCCACCCTGGAAGTCCCAGGGCGTCAGCAACACCAGAAATGATGCAGAGAATCTACGATATGGAGATCCTACTGAGCGTCATATCGCTAGTTCAGCAGTCATTTCCCGGGAGAGAGAACATTCCATTATCACAGAAACTTTGGCAATGAAAACAGTATCAGCTCGTGAGGTTCAAAAGCTTTTCACATCTGTTAAAAAACTCACCGGGTATAAGAGGTCTGGTGATAATCTAGCTCTATTTGAAGCTGATCCAGAAGGGTTCTTGCAATGATTTGTGACTATGGGTGGAACCTGGGTTAACCACTTCGAGCAATGGAAGCATTTGACATCCCCACCACCAAAGAAGGCAAAGACTGTCCCATCAACTGGAAAGCTTATGACCTCTGTGCTCTGGAATGCCGAGGGGTGGATGTTTATTGTCTTCCAAAAGGGCAGACAATAAACAGAGCATATTAAGCTACACTTCGGGGGCTATTCCGGGGTGCAATTGAGACGTGGGAGGCTGAGAAAAGGTGTGCTCTTTCATCAGGACAATGCACCATTGCACAAATCAGTCATCACGCTACAATCCACGAGTGTGGCTTTGAACTTTGGCTACAATCCACGAGTGTGGGGCTTTGAACTTTGGCTACAGACCACGAGTGTGGTGGCTTTGAACTTTAGCTACAATCCACGAGTGTGGCTTTGAACTTTGGCTTCCCTCCACGAGCGTGTCTTCGTACTTTAGCTACAATCCACGAGTGTTGCTTTGAACTGTGGCTACAATCGACGAGTGTGGCTTGCTACAGTCCAAGAGTGTGGCCTTGGACTTTAGCTACAATCCACGAGTGTGGCTTTGAACTTTGGCTTCCCTCAACGAGTGTCGCTTTGAACTTTGGCTTCCCTCAACGAGTGTGGCTTTGAACTTTGGCTTCCCTCAACGAGTGTGGCTTTGAACTTTGGCTTCCCTCTACGAGTGTGGCTTTGAACTTTAGCTACAATCCACGAGTGTGGCCTTGTACTTAAGCTACAATCCACGAGTGTGGCTTTGAACTTTGGCTACAACCCACGAATGTGGCTTTGAACTTTGGCTTCCCTCCAGGAGTGTGGCCTTGTACTTTAGCTACAATCCACGAGTGTGGCTTTGAACTTTGGCTTCCCTCCAAGAGTGTGTCTTTGTACTTTAGCTACAATCCACGAATGTGGCTTTGAACTTTGGCTACAGTCCAGGAGCGAGGCTTTGAACTTTGGCTTCCCTCCACGAGTGTGTCTTTGTACTTTGGCTTCCCTCTACGAGTGTGGCTTTGAACTTTTCCTACATTCCACGAGTGTGGCTTTGAACTTTGGCTACAATCCACGAGTGTGGCTTTGAACTTTGGCTTCCCTCCACGAGTGTAGCTTTGAACTTTGGCTTCCTTCCACGAGTGTGACTTTGAACTTTGGCTACAGTCCACGAGTGTGACTTTGAACTTTGGCTACAATCCACGAGTGTGGCCTTTTACTTTAACTACAACCCACGAGTGTGGCTTTGAACTTTGGCTTCCCTCCACGAGTGTGGCTTTGAACTTTGCCTTCCCTCTACGAGTGTGGCTTTGAACTTTGGCTTCCCTCAACGAGTGTGGCTTTGAACTTTGGCTACATTCCACGAGTGTGACTTTGAACTTGGGCTACAATCCACGAGTGTGGCCTTTTACTTTAACTACAACCCACGAGTGTGGCTTTGAACTTTGGCTTCCCTCAACGAGTGTGGCTTTGAACTTTGGCTACAGTCCACGAGTGTGGCTTTGAACTTTGGCTACAATCCACGAGTGCGGCCTTTTACTTTAACTACAACCCGCGAGTGTGGCTTTGAACTTTGGCGTCCCTCAACGAGTGTGGCTTTGAACTTTGGCTACAGTCCACGAGTGTGGCTTTGAACTTTGGCTTCCCTCAACGAGTGTGGCTTTCAACTTTGGCTTCCCTCCACGAGTGTAGCTTTGAACGTTGGCTTCCCTCCACGAGTGTGACTTTGAACTTTGGCTTCCCTCTACGAGTGTGGCTTTGAACTTTGGCTTCCCTCAACGAGTGTGGCTTTGAACTTTGGCTTCCCTCCACGAGTGTGACTTTGAACTTTGGCTTCCCTCTACGAGTGTAGCTTTGAACTTTGGCTTCCCTCAACGAGTGTGGCTTTGAACTTTGGCTACAATCCACGAGTGTGGCCTTTTACTTTAACTACAACCCACGAGTGTGGCTTTGAACATTGGCTACAATCCACGAGTGTGGTGGCTTTGAACTTTGGCTACCATCCACGAGTGTGGCCTTGTACTTTAACTACAACCCACGAGTGAGGCTTTGAACTTTGGCTTCCCTCCACGAGTGTGACTTTGAACTTTGGCTTCCCTCCACGAGTGTGGCTTTGAACTTTGGCTTCCCTCCAAGAGTGTGGCTTTGAACTTTGGCTACAATCCACGAGTGTGGCTTTGAACTTTGGCTTCCCTCCAAGAGTGTGTCTTTGTACTTTTGCTACAATCCACGAGTGTGGCTTTGAACTTTGGCTACAGTCCAGGAGTGAGGCTTTGAACTTTGGCTTCCCTCCACGAGTGTGTCTTTGTACTTTAGCTACAATCCACGAGTGTTGCTTTGAACTTTGGCTACAGTCCAGGAGTGAGGCTTTGAACTTTGGCTTCCCACCACGAGTGTGGCTTTGAACTTTAACTACAATCCACGAGTGTGGCTTTGAACTTTGGCTTCCCTCCACGAGTGTAGCTTTGAACTTTGGCTTCCCTCTACGAGTGTGGCTTTGAACTTTGGCTACAGTCCACGAGTGTGGCTTTGAACTTTGGCTACAATCCACGAGTATGGCCTTTTACTTTAACTACAACCCACGAGTGTGGCTTTGAACTTTGGCTTCCCTCAACGAGTGTGGCTTTGAACTTTGGCTACAGTCCACGAGTGTGGCTTTGAACTTTGGCTACAATCCACGAGTGTGGCCTTTTACTTTAACTACAACCCACGAGTGTGGCTTTGAACTTTGGCTTCACTCAACGAGTGTGGCTTTCAACTTTGGCTTCCCTCCACGAGTGCAGCTTTCAACTTTGGCTCCCCTCCACGAGTGTGACTTTGAACTTTGGCTTCCCTCTACGAGTGTGGCTTTGAACTTTGGCTTCCCTCAACGAGTGTGGCTTTGAACTTTGGCTTCCCTCCACGAGTGTGACTTTGAACTTTGGCTTCCCTCTACGAGTGTAGCTTTGAACTTTGGCTTCCCTCAACGAGTGTGGCTTTGAACTTTGGCTACAATCCATGAGTGTGGCCTTTTACTTTAACTACAACCCACGAGTGTGGCTTTGAACTTTGGCTACAATCCACGAGTGTGGTGGCTTTGAACTTTAGCTACCATCCACGAGTGTGGCCTTGTACTTTAGCTACAATCCACGAGTGTGGCTTTGAACTTTGGCTTCCCTCCAAGAGTGTGTCTTTGTACTTTAGATACAATCCACGAGTGTGGCTGTGAACTTTGGCTACAGTCCAGGAGTGAGGCTTTGAACTTTGGCTTCCCTCCACGAGTGTGTCTTTGTACTTTAACTACAATCCACGAGTGTTGCTTAGAACTTTGGCTTCCCTCCACGAGTGTGGCTTTGAACTTTAACTACAACCCACGAGTGAGGCTTTGAACTTTGGCTTCCCTCCACGAGTGTGGCTTTGAACTTTAACTACAACCCACGAGTGAGGCTTTGAATTTTGGCTTCCATCCACGAGTGTAGCTTTGAACTTTGGCTTCCCTCCACGAGTGTGACTTTGAACTTTGGCTTCCCTCTACGAGTGTGGCTTTGAACTTTGGCTTCCCTCCACGAGTGTGGCTTTGAACTTTAACTACAATCCACGAGTGAGGCTTTGAACTTTGGCTTCCCTCAACGAGTGTGGCTTTGAACTTTGGCTACAGTCCACGAGTGTGGCTTTGAACTTTGGCTACAATCCACGAGTGCGGCCTTTTACTTTAACTACAACCCACGAGTGTGGCTTTGAACTTTGGCTTCCCTCCACGAGTGTGGCTTTGAACTTTGGCTACAGTCCACGAGTGTGGCTTTGAACTTCGGCTACAATCCACGAGTGTGGCCTTTTACTTTAACTACAACCCACGAGTGTGGCT